ATATTTCAGTGTTTTTCAAGTTGTATCTCCACAAGCCTTTGCTATTCTTTTTTTTTTTTTTTTAAAGATTTTATTTATTTATTTGACAGAGAGAGCGAGAGAGCACAAGCAGGGGGAGCAGTAGAAGGAGAGGGAGAAGCAGGCTTCCCACTGAGCACAGAGCCTGATGCAGGACTCGATCCCAGGACCCTGGGATCATGACCTGAGCCGAAGGCAGGCGCTTAACCATCTGAGCTACCCAGGCGCCCCAAACCTTTGCTATTCTTTACCTTTACCTTGTATGGGAGGCAGAATTTCCAGTAATAGCCCCAACAGTTAAGTCTCCAATCCCTGCAATGTGAATGTCAGATCTCCCTCCTTGATTGTGTTATGCCTATGGCACAGTCAGCCTTCAAAGGGGGACATTATCCAGGTGGGCTTCATCACTTCAAGTGAGCCTTGAAAAGTAGAGAACTTTCTCTACCTGGTGGCAGAAGGGGACATCGGGGAGATTCCAAGCTTGATTCCACACACCACTGCTGGCTTGAAGATGGAGGTGGCATCTAGAAGTTAAGAGTGGCCCCTAGCTGACAGCCAGGGAGAAAATGGGGACCTTAGACCCATAGCCACAAGGAATTGGATACTGTCAACAACCTGAGGGATCATGGGAGCGTATAAGAACCCAGCTGGTTGGCACCTTGATTTGGGCTTTGGGAGATCCTAAGCAGAGAACCCGGCTGAGCCAATGTGGACTTCCTTACCTACTGGATTGAGATAATGAATGAGTGTTGATTTTAGCTGCTAAGTGTGTGGTCACTTATTTTGCCACAATAGGAAACTAGACAAGCATGGTAATTTGTTTGTTGGATCCCATAGCTTTCCTGATTTTGTTGTGGTTCATAATCCACTGAGTTGACAAGCTGTGTGGCCTCAGGTGAATTGCTTGTCCTTCTTGAGCCTATAAAACCTGCCTCACTGAGTTTTTATGAAGATTAAATGGGATCCACGTAAAGTGTTTACTGCAGCCCCCGGTGCTTAGCAGGATCTCAGTCAAGCTCTCTCTCTACTGTGTATTTATATAGTTCCCCGTGTCCCCCTCCATACAGAGCTTCCTGCATGTTGTCGCACAGAGCCAGGGACCCTGTAGGTGCTCAGAACATGTGGGCTGGGTTGTATGCAGAAACAGTATTCATCAGATCATCATATTCATCAAGTATTTGTTTTGGGAAACGCACATATTAAATAGATGTATACGAGATAGGCTGTCCTCAAGCTGCCCAAAAGTCTGTAGGAGGGAATTATGCAAACAAAGCATTGCAACACCGTGCTATTCATGGTATTCATGCTGGGGCCGCAGCACCTTTCCTCTGGTCTAAGAGAGACTCTCAGGTACCCACGAGGGGTGAAGGATGCTGGGAGAGCCGGGGTGGAAGAGGCTGCAGTCAGCAGGGGCTGGACAGAGGCCTGGTTTGGGGGGAGCACAGGGTGCCTGGGTGGGCTGGGAGGGAAGGTGGGAGGGCAGCCTGCATGTCATGCCAGTGGGCTGGGCTTCAGGCTTCGGGTCCTGGGGAGCTTTCAGAGGTTCTTCGGCAGAGCAACCTGATTGGATTTACATGCTAGAAACAGTGGTGTGGGATGGAGGGCCCACACGGGATGGAGGGCCCGCACCGGATGGATCGCAGATGAAGAGACTGGAAGAACCCAACAGGCAGCTAATTTAGTGCTACTCTTTAACTTCCAAGAAAAATACACACAAATCTACTGGAGCCCTTTATCTATAGTGCGGCCCCGAGATTCGAACATTTAGTTTAATGTCCTTCATTAGAGGAATGTGTCTGCCCCTGGTGGCCTGCAAAGCCAAGTTTTCCTGTACAGGGAGGCGTGGCGTGGGCTCATTTCTGCGGAGCTGGTTAGCCCTGAAGGGGCAGAAGTGGAGAGGGAGGTGGGCTGACTCCCAAGGATTAAAAGCTATGGTCTGGATTTTTAGCACAAACAGGGGGCTGGAACCTTCCAGGGGTTGGCTTGAGTTAGTTTGGGATTCCCTTCTAACTGGGAAACTTCCAGGTGCGTAGAGGAAGGAGGAAAAGATACTTACTTCTGAATTAGTGCTTGGAACTCCTTCTTTCATAGAAACAAGTTTATAAATAATGGTTTGGTTACAAGCTGGCTTCTCCACAGAGCGACAGCCTGTCTGAAATCCAGTCCATTTGTAACTTTGTTATTATATTCTCTTCTGGATCTTTCACTAACAACCAGGCTTTTGGAATATGACCTGTTTCTAAAGCGGAGATTATCTGGGATTATGAATTTATAATCATGCCAATTCATCAGACACACATTCAAGGTGGTCTTGAGAATTCCATATGTGGCTGCAAAGGACCAGACCAGAAGCTATCTCCCAGAATACTGGCTTGGAAACACTTCTATTTGAAAATGAATCACAGTGGGGTGCCTGGGTGCCACAGTCAGTTGAGCGACTGACACTTGGCTTCAGCTCAAGTCATGATCTTGGGGCTGTGAGATTGAACCCCGCATCTGGGTCTGCGCAATCTCTTTCCTTCTCTCCCTGCCCCACCCTGCCCCCATGCTCTCTCTCTCTCTAAAATAAACTTGAGAGAACCTTTAAAAAATAAAAATAAAAATGAATCAGTTTTTGTTTTTCTTAGAACTTTATTTGTGGCATCAAGATTTTTAAAAACGATTTTATACTTTAAAGTATGCAATAAATTTGTACATTAATCTTGATATATATTCACCATATGGGAAGATTTTTAAGAACAATGTCAAATGGTTTATAATCAAAACAAATTGTGTTTAACTTGATAATTATGTAGAACAATTTCAGCATTATAAATAAAAAATGAAAACAAATACCACTTAAATTTGAGTTAGGATGAAATGCATTTGTTTTACAATTTTATGTCTATTTTAAAGTTTGTTTGATTACAGAGAAAATATAGGCTAAAATTATGTGCTCATAATTTCTAGAAAAATAGAACGTCCTTGCTTTATGAAAATGACCCTATTTACTCTCCAGGTGTAGAGTGCATTTGAGACACTTTTTTATCTGGGATGAGAGGCTGTGTGGCTTGATACAGGTTCCTTCCAGACCCCAGGCTACACCTCGAGACGAAGGGAATGATGGTCTGTGGCTGGGAGCTGTGAGAGGTCTGGTCTCATTAACACCTTGTTTTATCTGAGTCACAGGATCATCCAAGTAAGTATCAGGGAAAGCAAGCTTTATATTTTCTTTAGCTCTGATCTGCTCTGATATTTCACAGAAATGATACTTAAAACATATGTGGTAAGATCCTGTTTCAACAAAAATAGTTTTCACATTAAGTTCTCTATAATGAGGACATTTCAAAATGCACTGGCCCATATTAATATTACTTTGCTGATGTGGAGAAAATGAATTCTGATGGTATATATAAACACACACACACATGTTCAATATCAGAGATGTTCCTACTTCTTTGTCTATTAGCAGACATTTTATTTTTAAATGAAGAGATTCTTCTTTGGGAGTGTAGCTGGTGTGCATACCTGATTTGACAAAATCTGATGGTCAGCACAAAGTACAAAGCATCTTCTGATTGTATCATACTTTACAAAGTGGCTCTCTGGAGCTTATAACAAGCTTCCCTGATGACGAATGTGGGTGTGATTGTTCTCGTTTGACAGGTGAAAGAACAGGAGTCCAGAGAGGTTAAGTAAATTGCTTCAGTTTCAACAGTTGATAAGTGATAAAACTAGTACTACAGATCTGGTGGCCTTGCCTGAATGCTGGGGTGAAGATGAAACACAGGGTACACTCATTTGTCCATTACTTTCCCTCGGCCCCGGAGATGTGGTGTTTGGAAAGTGGTTTTGCTGCTGTTCCATTTGAGATCTTTAGCAGGTGCCGACAGGTACCCCATGAACTTAAACCAATAGCCAGCTGCAGTTCTTACAACTCTCCGAGTATATGTATGTATTTAAGAAGATTGATAACATATATTTACAATTATTCCTAAATCGCCAAGACATCATACTGAGAAATAGGTTTAACTTTTTGCAAGAGCATTTTCTATGTCATCATTCGAATATACACATGAAACATATAAATACAAGTCTTGGCAAACTTTATCCATGCAGGTGCACGGAGCACTTTCCCTTTTGCCTCTTTCTGCTCACCCCTACTTTGGATTGTTCACAAATTCATTTACATGTCCGTAAGTTCCTGGAGGTGAGGCCTGAGCTAGATTTCTCTGAAGCTGACAGGTCTTACTCCAGGGCCTTCCACAGGGCTAGGCACACAGCAGGCATTCAGCACACATTTGTTGAACGCATGCGCGTGATTTGTATGTACTTCAATTTGGTTAAAGTAGAATTCTGCTTGTAGCATTTTTCTTAGAGAGTTTTGGATTTATAGTAAAACATCATTTTCATAGTAAACAGTATTTTTTAAAAAGTGTAAGAAATACAGTAATAAATTTAATACAAATTATGCATTATAACAATTCTTTGGTTATTTTTAACAAATTATTTGGTTTTTTTGACTAAAGAGAGATACTAAAAATATAAAAGTGCAACCACAGAAATTAGCTTAATCTGTAAACATAATAAACATGTTCTGTAAACATATTTACTACATAATTGGGCAAGTGTAAAGAATGACTAGTAAAGGCAAGTACTATACATTTAACTTAGTTCTTCAAGGCATATTTAGAAATACTGCTCTGCGGAGCTTTAGTGTAATGTCTGAAGAAGGAATTCTTTTACCTTAAACAGGAAGGAGTGCTGACTATGCCAGTGAACCAAAAGGATATACAGGCAAGACGGAGGCGTTAATACTTTTCACGCTTTGCGAATCTGAATTCGCTTCATGTCTTATAAACCATCTCGTTTAGTAAAGCTACATATTAACAAAAGCCAAATACTTTTAAAATGAAGAAGTAAACAATTTTTTTTTTGCAAGTGAGTCAGTGGACTAAAAAGATAGGTAACACATTTTCCAAGGTTTTTTTCAAAAATCTGGGCAGTAAGGTGCAGTAGGCAGGTCTACAGAATAATAGCTGTAGGCAGCATGAAGTATATTGTAGTTTAATCAGTATTAAAGTATTCTTTTCCAAATTTCAGTTTTCCTTCTCAAAAAGCATCCAACTTTTCACACATGACACTTATCACAAATATTTCACAGTTATAATTTCAGTAGTTTAAGGAAGATCTGCCTGGCAAATACTATAAAAGAGGTAAATGTTAAGGACACAACTCACTATTTCAGGCACGTGGGATTTAAATCCTAGAGTGGGAACTCTAAAGATAGAAAGAAACAGCTGTGTCAATGCAACATACTGTTGTAAAAGTGAATGAAATAATGGTAAGGTTGTCAAACTGTTTCTTCTAATGCTTTTATATGACTTTTCTCCACTATCTGGGAAGAAACAAAGGCCAAGTTTTAGTAGTTCCCTGGAAAATTTTAAGTCAAGATTTTGCTTATACAAAAGTGGCAGTGAAACACTCTAGATTGTTATTTGGAATCTAATCGACGCCATCAAAGCCCTGAGTATTCTCAATTGCCATCTGAAGTTTATCCCATAATTCTTCAAATGATTCATAGGGCGGCAAGTCCAAGCGGTTAAAGCTGAAAGAACAGTGAGGACCTGGTTAGGACAGACACTGACAAAGCAAGTGCCACGGCGGCCAACAGGACCGCTGCTATTTGTGATATGTTCCACCCACAACACTAGAAGACATTATATCACCGGAGAGAAGGAAGGTAACAGCACTGGGCGCTAGGCATGGACTAATCCCAAGACTTCTTGGTGGGATCCTCTCACTCCCATCATGACCTCCAAATGCCTGGGGTCCTCTGTTATTTTAACCTCCAAAAGGGAATGTTCTAGCTTCTCTTGGGATGGCCCATCATTCATGCAATGGAGGGCAACACATGGTCAACGATTAAGATGAGCCTCTCCACTGTTCAGCTACCCAGACTTCAAGCCCAGGCCTGGCTGGCAAAGATGCACCTGTTCCTGTGTTGCTGTTTCTGCCTCCCCCCCCGCCCACCCCCCCCATAGCTGCCACTGACACAGCACAGAGAGGGCTACACCTTCTGTACCTAGACTGTTAGAGGGGCTTCACTCTCTGAAAACTTGTTCTCTAAATGTTGAAAAAACTGCTTACCATGTGTGGGCTCGTGGCAGCTTTTCCGGGGTACCCCACTGTTCAACTGTAAATGACTGTGGTCCATTTGAGCCTGTAAGGAAGAAGAGTTGCTGGGGTCTCATCTATTCTTTATAGGAATTCCCTAGAATTTCACAACTCATTATTTCCAATGTAGAACTTAAATGTCCAGAGAACAAGTTTCTTTGAACTCCAAAGAAATGAAGGCTGTCCTGTCCTTGATGGCTTCATTGTCCAGCCACAAGATGAAGATTCCTCTTCATCGGCTCCTCTGTGGCCACCATCTCACTCCACCTCTAGGGTGGCAGGCCTGACGGGACTTTTGAAATGTTTCCTAGCCCTGCGCTTCCCTAGGACCACCTCCTTCATAGGTACACAGAGAAAATGAGGCATTTCTTTCTTTCTTCAGTCCCACCAAAAATAGCTTTAATTTTTCTCTGATTATCTAATCTCACTGCAAGAAAATTAAAGCAATAGAAAGAAATATAATGAATGGTATAAAAATGGTCTCAAAGTCCACTATTAAATCTGAGTAAACATTCTATTGTGAATCGTTTTGCACATGTGCATATATATATGCAATTTTGTGTGCAGGTGATGTTATCCATGCTACATTTTTCTTTTATTATGGACACTTTCAGAAGCTCCTTTTTTTTCCTCTGGAGTTTTCACTTAGCTCTCCCTTCCCCCAATTCTCAACATTCCTCCAACCACCCAGGTAATTGGTGCTGACAACCCGATGTAGAACCTTCCATACTTTTCCCCGAGTCTTATAATCATAGCTAATTATGTATGGGAGTGTAACTGCCAGAAGCAGCACTAAATATACTGGATATTCTTGATATTACAGTTTTCTCAAAAAACATTGCTTTTCACACATCACATATCATAATTATGTTCACAGTTAAAATTTCAGTATCTTTGTCATTGTTTCCCATACATGGAATCATATATATTTCCCTGCCTCTTGATCCTCTCACCTAAATGACCCATTGTGAAAACTTCCTCTAAGTCAACCAATGCAAACCTTACACACTTTTTATTGGCTAGATAATACTGTATTACAATGTTAACATTTTGAAGCAACTTCTTCTTTTTGAAAATGCATACGAATTTGAATTATATTCTAATACTTCCAATCTGGCTCCATGTGTGGTTATTTCCCCCAAATTCCAAACAATTCACGCAATCAGTGGATGGCCATAGGCCTGGACTGCACAGAAGAGGGATGTGGAGCTAGACATGGAAAGGGGTGTCTGGCCGGCCTTGCTCTTTTCCCACTGTAACTGGCTAAAATATAGGAGAAGTGAAAGGAAGGGGGAAGTCACGGGAAACCACTGAAAGGACAAAGGCAAAGAAATCCAATTAGGCAAGAAGGGGTGCAGGGGTTAGCACAGAGCTCCTGTCTTGTTCTTCTCACTGTGCGTGGTGACTCTAGGCGGGATGGCGGATGCTTTACAGGTTCTGCAAAATACGCATGAAGCTTAAGGAGCCCAGGTTTGCCAAGGAGACCGACGGGGCTAGTGATCCCATCAGACAGCAACAGCTTTCTCTGTGCGTAAGAAATCCAGCTCAGCAACGACTGAGGCAGAAGTCGTGACTTGTCGTTCCCAGAACAATTCTAAACTTTGTTGTTGCTCTGCATGGGGCTCCCCAGAGAGCCCCTTCCCTGAAAGATTTGTTCTTCATAGTATCTTTAAAAGCAAGTAAATGTCATTCCAATACAGAGATATTAACTGATTTGAGTTGATTTACATCAGAAACAGCAGGTTTCTAGTTTTGTTTTTTTACAAAAAACACCTCTAGTGCTATGAGATATATCCACTGGAAAACAGTTTGCTAGGATATGCAGAATTCCACTTTATAGAAAACAGCATTAGTAGTAACTATTCTGAATATTGAAAGATACGTGCAGTCTTATCACCAGTCCTGCGCATCCCCCCCCACACACATGCACGCACATATATACACAGAGTCCATGATCAAATAAGTTTTGGAACCCCCTCTTTTTTTTCATAGTAAAGGTTCCGAATGAGTCCCAAAGAAATCTACTCAATTTTGTTTAGTCCAGTATTTGCCCCAAATGTATTCCACTATGGAACTCTTTGTTCTCTGTTGTACACTTACTAACATTCTGTGGGACATTACATGTTGCCCTAAACCATCACCCTATAGACAATGCTTTTTCTGTGATGGGACATGTAGTGGGAATCCAATTTAAAACTCAAGAATGGAAAGGAACTCGAGCCATTTCATGTTTTTTCCTTTGGTATCCGATTAGAAGGTGTACGTATATTCTGGCCTACTTCTGTGTATCAAATCCAATCATTTAAAAATCTTAATTCTTTTTTTATTAAGCTCAGTGTTTGTATAAATGATAGAAGCTTGACAAGTAATCGTCAATGAAAAAGACAAGTGGCATCACTCCATTTTTAAATGCTGTGTGAAAAACCCTTACCATATAGTTCAGCAAATCCATTCATGGGCACTCGAGAGGTGCCAGTGACAAACTGAAGTAATCTTATTCTTTTTTCTGAATCCATCATTAGAACAGCCTGAATAAGAGAGAAAAACAGCATTTAGGAATATCACTGGGAAAAAAGTAACAGCACTATCCTGAAAAATATGTTATCAGAATTTAGTTACAGTATTAATGATCAGTTATTACATTTACATGTGTTTCTGGGTGGCTTACAAAGTTCCTGGAAACTTCATTTCTGAGGCTACACGGTAACTCTCTAGAATGAGATCATAGCCTAATAAAGTGACAAAAATATCTTCTTGGATGTGACTCATGGCTTTTTAAAAATTTATATTTACAGATATTATTGAGTGACATACACATTTCTTGATTAGATGGAAAGTCACATTTAAGGAGCCATGCAAGAGTCCCGGGGAACACCCAGCAGGTTATTACAAGTTCTCTTGAATAGTTTCCATGTTGGTAAGGGACTAAGCGCCCACTGCTGTTGTTCCTGCCATTTACTACATTCTGAACACTGACTTATCTATAAATATGTATGGAGGATGAAGCCATACCCAGAAGGTAGATGGATACAGTACACTGTTACTTTTTGTCTTATCTCTGTGTAATCCACTAGTATGGTTAAGTATGATCGAATCTGTTGAAAAGGAATTTACAGAAACAGAAGCTTTCAATTACCTTCCAAAACCACTGTATGACTTGATGATTCACACCGTAGCCATTCTTATACTTTGTGTGTTCTCTCCAGTCATTCACATCAACATCTCCCAATCCACACATAAGAAGCTACGCGATAAGAAATGTCAAACTGTAGACAAGAAAAATAATGGGCACAAAAATCCTGTTTGAAAATAAGAATATTTCTTACCTCTAGTTCGTTTTCGTCAAAAATTTTAATGAGATCCTGTGGTATTAGTTCGAAAAATCCCTAGTGGAAAGAATGTATTTTAAAACCTGGTTAGCAGAGTCCATCGACAGCCCTATACGTCAGCCTCTGGATCGCTCTTGGAGAAATCCCACCTACACGTAGATTCCTACCACCACACAGTCACGGGTTCTTAAGTCAACGGAGGTTTCAATATTGGCAAGAACATGGATGTGTCCACAGTCTGTTCTTTCTCATTGATTCCTCAAAACGGCCATTTTGAAACCTCCCCGCATTTCCCCAACTGCTTCATCCTCCACCATGTCATCCCTCCTTTACAGCAGATAACTTTTATTTGAGAGAGAAAACAGAGGTGATGATGGAATTCCCTCAACCTTCTGCCTTGCCTGGGTACCAGCCGGTGCTGACATCCATCATGGCCTCCTGCCCATGGCAGTGGGGACAGGTGCCCCCTTTCTCTCTGGGCTTCATCTGCTTCCCCAAGGGGCTCATCTCACTGAACCTCCTTCTCGTTATTAGCTCACTCTTCCTGCATTTACATTTGTTTAAGCCTAGCTACCTTACAAACAGAACAAAAAAGCAAACCTGTCTTTCTTCTCTTTACCGCCAAGTCATTACACCTGATGGAACCCACGCCGGCCTGTCTCTGCCTCCACCCGCTGCCCTCTGCCTTCTGTGCCCCCACTGCCTTCAAGACAGCTTTGCGGTGAACTCTGATCAATGTTTTCTAGTCAGGTAGCTTATCTGACTTCTCTGCACTGTGAGATTGTTGAAAACACTGCTGTTCTGGAAACTTCGTCTGCTGTCGATGGTTTCTCTCGTGTCTCTGTCTGCATTTGCTAATTTCCTCGATGTCTCCCTTTCTACTGTTCCTTCCAGGTTGGTGCTCCCACATCCCCACGGTGGTCATCCACTTTCCCTGTTCTTACTGTTCTTTCCAATTTCCCATCTTACCGAGTCCACAGCTCCAGTACACACAGGCAGATGATCCCCAAATCCATGCTGCTCCCCGCCCAGATCTCTATCCTTTAAAGCACACTGAGCTACAGTTCTCCCTTGTGAATCCCATTCAGATACACACACAGCGGTCTTCCTGCCACCACCACCTTTGTTCCTGCCCTGATCTTCTCTCACCCAGATCACTGCCGCACCTTCCTGCCCGGCCCTGCTGCTAGTCTTGTCTATCTCTAACTCTCTACACACCACTTCCAGAACGATCTGACTAAAATGTAAATTGAATCCTGGTGTTTTATCGCCACCTTCCTTCCCCTCACTGGACTTCCGCAAAAACCCCGAATTCCCTGTTTCCAGTTTAGCAAACAGGCCCTTCTTAATCTGATTCTGCTCAGCTCTTCAGCTCAGTTTGACCTCCTGCCTCATCTTATTCAGTGTATGAACTGCTAGCATGTTCTCCAACATGTGCAAGGTCTGTCTTATGGCCAGACTTCACACATGCCCCTCATTATGCTTAGAACTGCACTGCCCTCCTCTGTGTGGCTGGCCAGTTCCTCCAGGCCTTCCCTGGCCCTTCCTGCACCTCTCCCAGCCTGGGTCTCTTCTATGTGCTTACTGAGCACTTCACACCTGCCTCTATCCACATCACTCTTTAGATTTTCTGCTCCCTAGAGCAGGACCTAGGTCTTTCTGCCTCGTGCAGCACCAGATACATAGCGAGTGCTCAATACTGAATAAATGAAAAGTACGTGATAAATACTGAATGGAAGATTTTAAGTTGGCTTAAGAAACGAGTGCACTGGCAATAGCCTAAATGTCCACCAACGGGGGGAATTTAAATAACTTACAAATTTATATTGTGAATAAATGCAGCCACAAGGAAGGGCAGTTATGCAGTGTAGGCAGTCTTGACGTGTAAAGATCTCCAATAAATATTTGATAAGAGAAGAAAGCAAGTCACAAACCAGCATGTACAGTGTGATCCCATGTGGGAAAATAAATGGCCTACTCCACTCTCCCTACGGCACTCTGAACCTTGTTCACCTGAGGTTACTTAAGATGGAGGAGACGTGACTGGGAAAAGGCGAGAAGCAGTGACTGGAGTGAAGGGGGAGCGTCAGCATTAACTGTATGGGCCTCTTGGATGACTGAGTTCTAACACCTATTCATTTAAATATTTTTTTACTATAAAACTATAATTAAAAGTTGTTTTAAAAAGCCAGTCATCTCTTAGTTCTCAGAAGTGATAAGCCCCCAATACTTGAAACTTATGAATTGTACTTTGAAATGGCAGAAGAATGAACAAAAGTAAATGAATACCTCTTTAAATGCAGCCATTTGCTTCTGGATTCGATTTACAAATCGCCACTGTATTACAAGACTAAAAAGAAACAAAACATTTCATCTTTTTCACAGAATGAAGAAAAAAATTTAAGGTATATTTATTCCAGTTGGAAACAAAAAATTAAGACTAGGTAAGCCCCAAGCAAAAAGTGAATATGAGTGGTAATATGGCATTGTTATAGAAAGAGAAAAAAGAACATTAAGACTCTGGCTATGAAGAAAGAGAAAGAAGATACGAAGAGTCTTCTCAGAAAGAACTACAAAATTATTTCCAGTGAAGTATATACTAAACATAATAAAATACTTACTAACAAAATACTTACTAAATATATTCCTTTTTGTTCTTATTGGTAACAACTATTTCTGATCCGCCGATTTTCAACTCGTGTTGATGTGTCTAAAATTAAGCATGATATCTTGATATGTTATTTTAGCGAAAAAAATAAAATACATGCATTATAGTTGTCCCAGAAACCCAGTGTTTTAAATTAAATCCATTCACAAGCTAAGAAAACTTAAAATATTAGTTTTACTAAAATAAACATGGAATGAGTCAAATGTCAAGGAAAGCAGAAATTCTGGCTGAGACAGCTTTTGTTACTGGAAAATAAATTTAAAAATAGAGCACAGAAGTGTGTCGAGGATATGCATTATTTAACTTCTAAACTTAAGTTATAACATTTGTTTCACAATTTATGTACCATTTTAATTAATCAAAGTTTACAAACCTGTCCAAAAAGCTCCTCATCTATGACAAACCTGAGGTCCAATTCTGTTGGATCATTTTCAAGAATCCATCTTAGTGAATTGTAATATTCACTATCCTAGATGGGGAAGTCACATATTTAAAATTTGTACATAAAAAGACACCTGAACCTGCAAAGAAAGTGTGTTGAGAGTCTGACTACTTAGACAAAAGATGAAAAGTAGTAGAACGTCTTTTCTTATATACACACAGTATTATAAAAAGAGTGGGATGACTATTAAGTGTGAAAATAAAAATGCATAAATCAGCAGAGTGGGGCTTGCCCGACAGTTTGGAAACCTATCTCTATGTCGAGGCAGTGGAGGTACAGATTTTATTATCCAGTTGAAGGGTCGACTAAAGTAGTTTCCAGATGAATCCTAACTCCCACGGATGCCCAGGAGCACCTAGTGCCTTTCTGGTACGGCCTGTTGAGACGGGGTGTTAAATGTATAAGTAGCTATGTATGAGCAGGTTGTTACTTATACCTGGCCCAAGTTAAAGAAAAATCTCAGATTAAATATAGAACCTCAATTAACCAACTCAAATAACTGTGACATCTTATGATTCATAAAGAATTATACGGTCCACATAGATAATGTCACAAGGAAAGGAATAAAAAATATACTTGGTCCCCAGGAAGAGAGCTTGGAATCCATGTGTACACACAGCACATGAGGCTTTTCAGTTCACACAGAAAAGCTACCATCAGGGATTTAATCCTTAGGTTTCCATTTCTTTGTAGTGGCCTAACCACAAGGCCTTGCCTTTAGACTGTCATTTTGAAAACATATCCACTCATCATAAAAGATCACAATTCAAATGTTGATAGTACATTGGAGTAATTAGGGAGAAGGGCATTCTTTGAAGTGCATCAAAAAAGATGGATTGATGGACACATGGGTGGACTGACGGATAGGTAGGTAATAAAGTAAGCATAGGAAAAAAAAAACCAAGTACAGAATCTTGGTGGTGGATACATATATGTCCACTATAACATTTTATTTTATTTTTTTTTAATTTTTTTTTAAAGAATTTGGGTATTTTTATTTTTTTAATATTTTTTTTAAAGATTTTATTTATTTGAGAGAGAGAGAATGAGAGACAGACAGCACAAGAGGGAAGAGGGTCAGAGGGAGAAGCAGACTCCCCACTGAGCAGGGAGCCCGATGCGGGACTCGATCCCGGGACTCCAGGATCATGACCTGAGCCGAAGGCAGTTGCTTAACCAACTGAGCCACCCAGGCGCCCGTCCACTATAACATTTTAAAAATTTTATTATGTATTAGGAAATTTTCATATTAGAATGTTGGGGAAAACGTTCGTTTGTATTTTGGAACATTATAATCTATTAATTTCTTCATCATCAAATTCTAACTTGAAAATATCCAGTTGCTTCTTAAATTATATGTTCTGTACACTGTAAGTGAAAAAGACATACCACTGATTCCATATCATGAAGTGTTATTGGTTTGTGTAGCATCATCTTGTAAAACGGGCGGATGAAAAAACCTTTCAAAAAAATAAAATGTATTGAAAATGATTACCAAGTGAAAGAAATAAGATCATTATACTTTAAAAAAATGTTTTATGCTTAATACTAACCATCCAACAGTTTGCCATGATAAACTGCCATTCCAGCTACCCGGCCAATAAACTTGAAGTAGGAGAGGTGATCCTCATTACACAATCCGGAGTTTGGATTTATCTGTAGGGTATAATTATCCCTATAAAGACAAACACATTTAAATGTTCCTCTCCACATTTCATATAAAAATTTTTAATATAACAGAATTATAAATTAGCTCCCACTTTTTAGAGTTTTTACTTCTACTAGAACCACATGAGACCACTGGATTTAATGGTTTTAAAAATAGTCATTTCTGTCAAAAGGTGGAAACAACCCAAGTGTTCAACAACAGATGAACGGATATGCAAAATGGAGTGTCCTTTTACACAATGGGGTATTACTCAGCCTCAAAACAGGAGAAAATTCTGACATATGCTATGCCATGGATGAACCTTGAGGACATTACGCTAAGGAAATAAGTCACTTACAAAAGGAAAAGCCCTGTAGGATTCTACTGGTATGAGGTACCTAGCGTGGTCAGATTCACAGAGACAGAAGGTAGAATGGCGACCACCAGGGAAGAAGGCAGTTAGTGTTTCATGGGCTTCAACAGTTTCAGTTGATGGTGAAAGAGTTCTGGAAATGGACGGTGGGGACAATGGCACAACAATGTGAATGTACTGAACACCGCTGAACCGCACACTTAAAATGGCTAAATGGTAAGTTTTATGTTATGTGTATTTTACTACCATTTTTTTAAAAGTTATTTCTGAAACAACATTAGTGACTGTCTCCTTTTCTGGCACGTTGTTAACACAGTTTCCTTGCGTCATACAACTCTTTGTTACTTTCAGAACAGTGACTTTTTTTTTTCTGTATACAGTCACTGTAAAAGTACTTACGTGGCAGAATATTCAAACAACCCATAATAAGGGTTAAACATTTCCTTTGAGATCAGGAAGAACCATTCTCTGGCAACTCCTCCGTAATCCAACCCCTTTTCACCGTCAAACTCGATCCACAGCCGAGCCTTGAGGAAATCTGCTCTCTTGACACCCATAATTCTCCTGTAAGAGTCCTCAAGGACAGTTGCACGACGAAGTTTCATTTCAAATTTGTTTGGAATGTCATTCTGAAAACCCAGAGAAGAGAGACTTGCAGTTTAAATCAATTCAACACAATGGCAAATTTATTTCTTGTAAAGTTATTTAAACCATTGTGCTCTACCCTGTACCCAAGACCCTTTCTTGGGGAAAGTGTGACTAGGGATGTTGTCTAATATTTCTTCTACGGTATAAAAGAATTCATGCCTTTTCTCTAATCACATAATAATACAGACTTCTGATTTTTATACTGGAAGAAGCAGTTATCGAGAGTGGCAATAATGCTCACATGAAGGCACTTCATGAACGGTCCATTCCATATTAAGTTCCAGTGAAGGCCATCCCGTGGCCTACAGCCCAGCCAACGCCTGCTCTTTCTCGGCTGCCTGTTGGTTCTGGGGTTTTCCCGACCTCCACCTTTCCTCCTTGGAGCCCACCCTGCTGCGTTCATTAACAGGCACTAACATTTACAGACTGTACCAGGCAACTATTCCCAGCATTTTAATGGGTTAAATCATTTACTCCTCATAACAACGCAAGGAAGAAGAGACAAATATAATCTCCATTTTATGGGTGAAGAAACCGAAGACAAAAGTCAAGAAAGCCTGAGCTCTCGAGTCTCTGCTGTCTTGCTGATTTTTCTGTACATCCTCTGCTTATGTGACAAATGCAGATAACTAGGCTTCTAGACAGACCTCATTGTAAATTTTATAAAAAGATGTCTGAATATTTTATTCTTAAGTGCTTTGTGTGCAATGTTCAAGTGGAAACCAGTAAGAGAAAATTCTGTCACTTTAAAAGAAGAAAGGAGGGTTACTTCTAAGAAAAAAAAAACAATTTCACTCTTAATATATTTAGGGAAAAGGGGAAGCCCTACAGAAAGAGAATAATATAAGCAGTTTTTATAAGCAATATAAGCAGTTTTCTCTGCTGCTTATGCAATTAAAAATAAAGGCAAGATCGGAGAAAACCAATCTTAGACACTAGGCATCTTGTGCAGCCAAGCATTTACTGGGGCCTGCTCTGGGCCAGACCCCATGCTAGGTAGCTATGGTAATGGGGATGGGAAGAAAAGGGAATAAAAATGTGGTATAAGATGTGATTCCTCCCTCAAGGAGTTTATAATCCAGTGTGTATAAGAGAAACAAATGTAAATGTTACTAATCCTGAGATTTACAAGAGTAAGAAAATTGCTAATAATAAAGATATAAGCAAATGTTCTGTGGGGCCTAAAAGATTGAGCTATTAATTGCAAATGAGGTGATCCAGGAGGCTTTAAGAACAAGTCCTGACTTGAGGGAGAGGCAGGGAAGGACCGAGGAGCAACTAAGGGAAGAACCTGTTGGGGGCGCAGGGGGTGTGTGTGGCTACTGTATGTAACAGCAAGAGGCTGCAGGAGGGAGGGAGAAGGGGTTGTTGCAGTGACAGCAGAAGGCAGAACAGTGGTCTGGGGCCAGAGTGGAGGGAGCGTGGATGCCAACTGGGAAGCGCTGCTGAGCTGAGCAGCAGGGTCAGGTTGTTCCTGGAGACTGACTAACGGGTGGCTTCAAGGAGAGACAAGAGGCACCTGGTCAGTTAAAGACCCTGTGAGAGAGGGATGGGGATGGCGATGGAAGAGAGAGAGGGCAGGAGGAGCGACTTCCATGTTTGGGCTGAGTAGTGGACCCGGGTGCGGATTCTGGGGTCAGGAGTCTCGTGTTCAGATCCCAGCGCCCCCCTGACATGTCTTTTCTAAGGCTTCATTTCCTCACCTGTAAATTGGGGACAATTTTAGAATGTCAGGGGATAATGCATTTCGTGTGCTTCCTCCATGTCTGGCATATGGTGAGCTCAATAATGATTAGCCATCCTTACTCCTTACTAGTGAGATGTTATGGATAAGGCAGAGGAAAAGGTTAAAGACAACTCAAGGTTTTGTAGCAATGGTTTTTAAACATTTTTATTTCTGTCTTGGTGTTCTGCTCTTTTGCTGTAATGAGACTAGATATGGATTTTTTTAAATCCTATTAGGGACTTTTTGATAAACTAAGGATGCAGGTTCGTAGTCTCTTCCCCATGCTCTTGAGTCTCTCTCTCTGGAGCAACTCCATGTTTCTTAACCTTTCTTTCATGTTTTTATCTCTTTATATAACTTTCTTGCATTCTGGGTAAATATCTCCCTTCATCATCAATATATGTCATTTTGGTCAAGAACATGGACTCTGGAGCTAGACCACTTGTCTGGCTTTGCCATTAATAACCCTGGGACTCGATCACATTAATTAATCTCTCTGTGCCTCAGTATCCTTACCTACAAAAGTGACAATGACAGTTCCTTCCTTAGACTGCTAATATAGAGATTACATGAATACATATAACTTGCTAAGAAGAATGTCTGGTTTGCCGTGAGAGCTCAGTAACTATTACTGCCTTCATTGTGGCTTCTGTGTGTTATGACCTGCTTATAAAGGCTTTGTTCCATATCTCCTGCTGCCAGGAAGACATCAACAATTAGATATGATAGCATGTTTGTAAGTGTTGAGAATGGCAAATGGAGAAGCTAGTGAGTTCTATTCCACCAGCATATTTTCATTAAGAGTAAAAATATTTACCAGACCAACAGATCAACAAAGTCTTAAAACCCCAAAGGACTTTAGAGATAGAAAACCAATTTCCAGAGCAATTTTAACACAAAGCTATTATTGAAGATGAGTTTTAAAAAGTTGCTGATAGTTTAGGCTTTTATTAAGGCACAAAATATTTGCACTAAAAAACTATTACATTTCGTTTTTTGTTAAATGTTGGATGAAAACATTCTGTGGTAACAGACCCACCATCTTGAATCTTTGGAAAAGCAGGCTTCCTGCTTGGAACGCAAGGAAGTGTAACCCAATATAGCCACCTAGTGGTAGTATTCCTAAACTGCAGGAAAAGGGGAAAAGTGGGAGCAAATTAGAAAGGAATTACAAAGTGGTCATCACCAACAGAAGTGAAATAGATGGGCAGATGATGAGTTTAGTTCCAAATATTAAATTTGTGGTGATGGAAGAAAAAAACTATAGTGAACACATCTGATAAGCAGAAGGAGACAAACAAAAGGACCACTGTTTCAATCACAGTTGTATTTTCAAATTAGGCAGAGATAAGTTGTACGAAGCAGTTGAGTATGAATAACTACCGCTGGAAAATAAGAGTCCAAGCAGAAGAGGAATATAGAGAGTCCTCCTACACAATCAGGGATGAGGCTGGGGGACAATCTGAGCTTGCTCGGATTCTACCAAGCCCAAACTGTGGTCTCTAATGATATGTAACATGGAGGAATAAAAAAAAAAAAAAAAAAAAAGCCACCTTTCCCTATAAGAAGCTATTCAAAGTTGTTAAAATATAGAATAAATTCTCTATTACTTTTAAAAATGCATTTACCACACTTTCAGTCTACATAACAATCATTCCTAAGAACTCAATGTAAATATAACTAACCTGCTTCTTCATCTTTCGTCGGAAGAACTCATACTTTCTTTTGTAATCCCTGGAGTAGGGCACTGCCTTGAGTTGAAAATTTTGGAAAAATAAAGAAGGTTTAGGTTGTTTTTATTCTGGAACAATTTTTGAAGTTCCCGTCTGGGTATTTTATGAACATAAGTTAAAGGCATTAAAAGAGAATACTTGGAAAGAAAAGTTTAATTTGAAGGAAAACAAATACAAAACTTTAAAATTTTTAATTTCTCTGTTTAAAATTAAATTGTATTCAGCAATTCCCATGGCTGTAATTTTCATCATGCAATATTCTTGAAATGCAAAAAGCCAGAAACAGGGAATTTCTTCCAAGGAGAGAAATATTAGAAATGAAAATTTCCATTTCTAAACACACTGTCCAAGTGATTTCTCCATTAAGGGAACAATTTGAAAAATGCACTTTTTCCTTGAACTCTGAGGAATTGCCTTTTTTCCCCATTATTTTAAAATACTAAACATGGAGACTAAAGAGTAATTTAAAAGAACTGGATCTTCAATTTCATTTGTTTTTGTGAATTTGAAAACAAAATCTCAAAAACAAAATATGGAACAAGTAACTATATAAAGAAGAAAATGATTTTTCCTATCATTATATGATAACATTAAGCATTATAATATTTATACTTAAATACGAGTATTTTATACACCAGCATTTACAGTAATTTCCACCAAAAAGTTCAAGCATGCCCCTGGAGTCGACTGGGTGCTGTCTACTTTCTCACCTGATACATTCTTGGCTCCTCTCTGATCTCCTGAGGATTGCCAACATTCTTTTTCAGGCAATGGCAAGTACCAGCCGGAGCCCAGCAGCCCCACTGCCTTGGCATTTGACTATCTGGCTCACTAGTCTCCTAAGGCTATTGCAAGGGTAAGGACAATGAGTTTACACACTCTTTTCAAATTATTAAGACCTGGAGTGGGGGTGGTGGGAGAGTACAGAATTGCAGATGTGCTGTCCTCTCAAGGTCTGTAGGATTATGCCCTTGACCATTTGCCCTTGACAAGACAGGTAAGAGGCCACTGCCATCAGAGTATACGGATGCAAAGAGACTTACTGGTCCAGTTATTGCTACATTTTGCAACCGAGGATCTTCCCATTGTGTTCTTTTTATATCTGAAGAGGGAGAGAAATAAGGTGTTCTTGAGTCTCCTACACAAAATTCAATATTACAAAAAAATAATGTAATGAAAAATCACATTGCACCTACTGTGATTTATGTAGAAGATTCTTCCATCTGTATGAGTTCTTTCTTCCCATCCTGGCTATAATGAAGAATGTATTTCAGTTATTTTTGGAAAGGGTTTGAGATGTATACAGGGTAGAAAAATGGCATTTGGTTATACAGTTAATTTCCATATTCCATTCTTAGTAGAAGGCATTACACTTTATTTTATTTTTTTAAGATTTTATTTATTTGACAGAGAGAGACACAGTGAGAGAGGGAACACAAGCAGGGGGAGTGGGAGAGGGAGAAGCAGGCTTCCCGCTGAGCAGGGAGCCCAATGTGGGGCTCAATCCCAGGACCCCGGGATCATGACCTGAGCCGAAGGCAGACACTTAACGACTGAGCCACCCAGGCGCCCTGCATTACACTTTAATAATAACATTACTTATAGTTGTTGAAGAACTACTGTATTCCAAAATAAAAAATGTTTGAGAGAGCCAAGTTAGATTGCTAGCAAGTCTATAAACTTACAGGTAAAGGCCCCAGATCATTGGAAGAATCAAGTGATGTCTTTCCTCTAAGATGAGCTGGAATTTTCAGTCTTGGATCTTCCTTTTTTTGGTAGAGTAAATAAAGAAAACAACAACACACACACAAATTTTAAAATCAAGAAAGTCAATCTGTTACTATGTTTTTCTAACATCAATTGATATTTAAAATATTCTCTTTTAAAGTCTACTTTTATTCCATTTGCTTCATCTGTGAAATAATAGTTTCTCTGTCTAAAACCCATCATTCCCAGGCTACAAGATTCAGTCCGCAGATCTCAGAGTAGGATCAGTTTTAACTCATCATCTGTTTCATAGAAGCCATTCAGAGAATTTTGCCCCACTCTTCAGGGATTGCGTCTCTACCTAGGGGCTATTCTCTCCATAAAAACTGCTGAATGAATGGACATGAAACTAGACCATGTGTTATTTCTGAAGGCTTGAGCATGCTTTTTGGCCCTTATCTGTAAAGGTGTTGATGTATTAATATTTTTTAAAGCTAGGGAGGTAAACTCAAAAAGGTTACTAAAGTCAATTCAAATTGTTGAAAAAAAGAACAAAATTCAATTTGTTTGGATTCACTTACATATATTGTTTTAATATTATTTTGTTAAGTAGTTTATTAAACTATTTTAGTTTTATTAAGGTACTTTGGTCTTTTAAGTAAATAATCAAAATCTAGTCATCTGTTGCTGATTTCCAGTGATTTTTCTATTAGTGGTGAACCAACTGCTAAACAGCTTTAAGGCTTATCTTAAAATAAAAATACTATTCTACCTAGCCTCCCCCAAGGTTTTCTGGGTATTAAATGAGATATGGATTCAAAAGTACCTTGGAACTACAACGCAACATATAAAAGGATTATTACAAATACCTTCCTAAACATTTATGTCTAGCGAGTTAAAAACGAAATAGGAAGTAAATGTATTTCCAGGACAATCCCTAAAAATATTAAAAATAGGCGTATTTCTTGAGTAGAAATAATACTGTTAAGAATTCAGCATCTCTTTAAATGAATACGAGGAAATGTAGGTTATATTAATGTACATTTAAGGGTTACAGGGAACTATTTCTAAGAGTTAAGATCATTGTTCTACATTCAAACTGGACAGTATTAAAGTTACCCAGGTAGTGGTTTTGGTGTTGTGGTCAATAAAGAAAGGCCTCCCATTGGGTGCGTGCCGGACTTCCCAGCCTTTAGGAAGGAATCCTTGCTCCGTTTCAGACGGCTGGGTCACCTGCTGTGCTGAATCACTCGTGGGGACGTGCGGTTGAGGGCACGCCGAACTCTGGCCTGACCGCAGCTGACTGGTCTCGGCTGTGGTCTAGCACATGAAGTAAGTTATGTTGTCATGTTTTATAGAGAACACACAAAGAGCTGTGGTTAAAAGGTAACTTAACCTGCAAACAGAATATATCCTTATAAATAGACCTAAACATGGCAGACTCATTTTTCTAATAGTGTTTCGTCAAACTTCGTTTTTAAAATAACTTCTAATTTCTCAGCTAATTCTTGAGCGGTACGACACTGGCTAACAGTCCAAGTCTGCTGTGGATGCGTGTGATGGAGGCAACGAGGTCAGAGGGGCCGTGCCCCAGCGGCAAGGTCACCATGGTGCCAGTTCAAAGAGGCTGTCTCTGCTTGCCCCAAAGACGCACAGAGTGAGTGTGCAATTCCCCACACGTAGAAGTGGCTGCCAATGCTGGGCAAAAAAAAATGCATGGCAAATATCCATTGCAGAATTGGATCACTGAAATGTAATATATTCATTTGATGAAATATTAGGCAGTGGTTAAAAGAAACACACCGGATCCATACATAAGACAACATGGATAGGATTTAAAAACACTGTTGAACAAAAAAAGATTTAGAATTATATGACATCTTTGCAAAATTTGAAACGCAGGAACATAAACACTACTTTGCATCATTTTAGCTCTCTCTGTAAGTATATAAAAGAGCCTAGAAGAACTGTGTAAGGCCACTGCAAGAAGATGGAAGTCTGCAGCTCAGAAGAGGGCCCTTACCGGGACCCAAAATGCTGCCCTCTGAGCTCGGCCTCCCTGCCTCCAGAACTGTGAGAAATGTTTCTGTTGTTTAAGCACAAAAAAAAAAAAAAAAAAATGACTGGAGGAATGCCCAACAGACTTAAGACGGTGCTTCTCTCTGGGTAGTAGGACCAAGCGCTTGGCTAAAAGGAATTTAGTTTTATCTGTACAATTTTATTTTATTTTTTTTTTAAATTGTATGCCACTGCCTTTATACTATTATAGCAACTGGCTATGTTTTGTTTTGTTTTTAAGATTTTATTTATTTATTTGAGAGGGAATGAGAGAGAGAGAGAGAGCATGAGAGGGGGGAGGGTCAGAGGGAGAAGCAGACCCCCTGCTGAGCAGGGAGCCCAACGTGGACTCGATTCCAGGACTCCAGGATCATGACCTGAGCCAAAGGCAGTTGCTTAACCAACTGAGCCACCCAGGTGCCCACAATTTTATTTTTTAAATATTTTTTAAAGAGAGAGAGAGAGAGAGAGCATGAGTGGAGGGAGGGGCAGAGGGAGAGGCAGATTCCCCGAGTGGGGAGCCTGATGGGGGGAGCTCAATCCCAGGACCCTGAGATCATGACCTGAGCCAAAATAGACACTTATCTGACTGAGTCACCCAGGCGCTCCTTTATTTTTAAAAATAAAATGCCTAGAAACAAATACGGTAATTTGTTAATGGTGGTAAATTCTGGGTGTTAAGAAGGTGGGTATTTGCTGTATTGTTCTCTATACTTTTCAGTGTTAAAAAATTTCTCAGTCAGAGAAACAGTGATAAAATAAATTAAACATTTTCCTAAACACGAGGAAATGTCACAAAAGCCACTCGCTGTTGCCAAGGACAAAGTGTCATCGTGGCAAATTTCTTTAACAGATCCTAATCACTAAGATTATCTTTTAGAGAAATAATGATCTTAACCATTCAAATAACATTATTACCCAATGGACCAGATCATTTGCTCCATTTTATTCCCAGCTGGACTTGTTTTACATGATAGCAAGTGGTAATCATGCATGTGAGAGAGCCATAGGAAATGGGAGCACCAAGGTCAGCAAACAATTAGAACATGGCTAGCAGCAACCAGTATATACCACAGAATGATGTACTAGCTTCCACAGGAGTATGATGGCGTAAATTATGTAAGAAAACAAGTTAACAGGTAGATTGCATGGTACCTGTACCATGGGCTTTGTCCAGGTGGTAGTTCTGGAATTGTGATCTACATAATATGATCTTCCTCTTTCATCTTGTTTTTCTTCCCAACCTGGGGGTAATCCAGATGAAGTAGGCAAAAGCTACAGTGAAGAATAATAGGAAAACTGAGTATGAATATGAAACAAACCTTTTAAAAGGACCACCTACCTCCCTTTTTCACTGCCCTCTCTCTTTAAAATGAAGAGACTTTTAAATCATAATTTGAGGTGTATGAAATGAAGTGTACCACATTCTACTTAAGAAAAACCAGAACAGACCATAATGATGAGAGCGATACCAACATTAATAAAACATGACAGTAATAACAACCACACACTAAATGTTTTAACATAGATCATGTCATTTAACCTCCACACAAATCTTAAGGAGATAATTGCTATTACTAGCCAGTTTTTATTTACAAGGAAACTGAAGCTTAGAAAACTGGGGTAATTGCCTAACAGATAACATTGCTAATATGGAGCTGAGATCTGAGCCAGGTAGTCTAACTACAGAATTTATCACCCATATGTGCTGAGTCAGAAGTTACTGCTGCCATCTTCCTGTAAGGGCCAGGAAGTTGCTACTTTTGAGTTTATTACTAATGAACAAAGAGGTCTGGTTGTTCCCAGGTTTACTTAAAGTAGTCCAGGTTTGGTCTTCCTTTTGTCTTTTGAACCAGATTAGACTCCTCAAGGTTTGGCCTGTTTTCCCAATGTGTCTTATACATATAAACTATCGCCGCTGGTCTGCTTACCAGCTACACCGTCCCTAGACACACCGGGGTAGAGGTATGTTGCTCACAGATATGATGAGCTGTCGATCTACAAAATAATGAAATTTAAGTTGCCTGGCTTTACAAACGTCCAACAGCTGGTGAGTAGATAAACGAAATAGAGCAGATACGTCTACACAACAGAATGTCACGAACTACTGAGACGTGCACCAGCATGGTCAAAACTTGAAAACATCATATGGAGTGAAATGGGCCAGATACATCAAACTACAACACTGAATGGTTCCACTTATGTGAAACTTCTAGAAAAGGCAGCGCTGTAGGTACAGAAGGAGGATGAGTGGTTACCTGGGGCTGAAAGTAGATGCTGGGATTGAAGAAACTTTCTGGGGTGATGAAGGGTTCTTAGTCTTGATTATGGTGATGTTTGCACAACTGTACAAATTTACTAAAATTCATGTATTTGTACAAAATGAAGGGATTTTATGGTATGTAAATTATACCTCAAGAAAACTTTTTAAAAAATCAATTCAATGTATTGAGAAGAAAAAGGTATGGAAGTAGCTTTTCTAGTACATATAAAAACTGAAGTGCGTGTATGTACAGATGAATATAAATCATCTCCAGATTCTGCTGCTCATCTGGTGAGTGTCTTGGATAAATGCCTGTCAGTCGGTCAGAAATGCGACATTTTCCTTGTATGAGGACATTACAAAGCGCAGTGGGAGAAAACCACGGGTCTCTGCTTAAGCAGGCTCCAGCCTAACGGAGGAGGACAGGCAAGTGGCAATAGTGGGAGAAACACCCATGGTGAGGGCCGTGTTTCTGTGGCATTTCCTCTATTGTAGACGGTCAACGCTAACTGGGCCAATGGCACAAGTGAGTTGCTCCCCTCCCCTTCGTCAGCACAGGATTGTGTCCCTATCCTGGTGCAGTGCCACCTCTTTAGATGGATGAGCCACTCTTAGTTCAAGGAATTCTGAGCCTCTGCATCCCTATGCTGGAATTTTCATAAAAGCAAAAACAATCCCCACTTTTCAAAATTAATGCATAGACTGCCATTCAAAATTACAAATGGCAGAAAAAGGTGAGGAGGTATTCTACGTGTGGAAATGGCATGCACACAGAGCCAGAGGAGGCAGAGAGTCAGGAAAGGGGGCAGCCTGTTTGGAAGAAAAAGAAGGGACGGGGTGAAGGCAGCAGGAGGTTCCCATGGGCGGATGAGGAGGACGGTAGGCTGAAGGGGCTGGGAGCCTGGGAGTAAGACACAAGTGGGGGTTGCGTCAAGGAGAGATAAACTCAAAGTAATGAGAGTTGAGTCAGGAAGAGGGGGGTGGAAAACCAAAAGGGAGTCAAGAGTCCAGGCATGAGGCTGTTAAGGTCTAAGCCCCAGTCAAGGCTGTGGCTGGAAATCCTACTGAGAAGGAGGCAGAAGGTCTCAGTGGATGTGGAGTCTGATGGGAAGAGAGCAGAACTCCATGCAGCCTGGCCACTGAGCTTGCCTACACCAGCCCACCCCTGCCCAAGTGATGGATGTGTCACTTCACGTATGGGGCAGACACTGCAGCTCGATGCCAGGGGCCAGCGTCCAGAGCAGAGGCAGCTGGACGGCACAGTCTCGACCCGAAGGCTGCCTGCAGACCGCCTCCAGCCAGCCCGGCGCCTCAGCGCACAAGCCCACATGTCGCCCCCAGTCGCCGGGGCAGGGGCCTTGCTTTCTTAGCACGGGAGAGGCGGTCTCCCCCGCCCACCTACCTCATTTCCCCCTGTCCTGAACCTCATCTCCAAGAACCGAGATTCTGTGCTCGATTGGCTCATTGCTAAGCAGTCCAATGTTCATACTCAGTGTTCCAAAAAAAAAAAAGTTCTTGGGGCGCCTGAGGGGCTCAGTTGGTTAAGCGACTGCCTTCGGCTCAGGTCATGATCCTGGAGTCCCAGGATCGAGTCCCGCATTGGGCTCCCTGCTCAGCAGGGAGTCTGCTTCTCCCTCCGACCCTCCCCCTTCTCATGCTCTCTCTCTTTCTCTCTCTCCAATAAACAAAATCTTTAAAAAAAACTTCTTGAGTTTCCCATTTTTACTGACAATGAGGGGAGAGGATAACTCACCACAGGAAGTGTAGGCTGTTCCTCAAAAGTATAGGCTTGTAAGCTGCCTCTTCTGCTGGAATGATTCTTATTTAAAAAAAAAAGAGTGATAATAGGTTTAGGTTTTTGATCTGTGTCTGAGTGGCAGATAAGGTACGGGGTTGGGGGGCGGGTGGGTGTGAACGGGTAGAAGGGAGAGCCACTGTGGAGTGGCACTCAGCTGCTCTCCACACCCCCGTGGGCCAGCGCCTTCCACCCTGTGGCTTGCTCTTCGGCCCTGGCTCCTAGGTGGCCTCCCAGACACTTTTTCTTGAATGTCTAACGGACACCCCTCATTGTGCTCCACACTCATTTGCTTTTCCCCTGTCCACATCCACTCAACCCTGTTCCTTGTTTCGGGGGGCAGGGCTGGAGTCCAGCAGCGGCTGCCCTCAGGTATCAGTTCGTCCCCAGACTCCCCTCCCGTCCCTTACAGGCAGGACAGTCACCAGATCTTATTGTTTCTTTCCCAGCTCTCAACTATATTCTCCTTGCACTTTAGTTCAAGTTGGGTTTTCTTTTTTTTTTAATTTCAAGTTTTCATCATTTGTTGCCTTGCCTGTCACGGCAGCAACCCCCTCACAGATCTCCCTGCTTCAAGTCCGATTTCCTTAAAGCCGCCCTCCATGCTGCGCACTGTGGCCAGAGCACACCCCACAGTGCAGACCCCGTCACATCGTTCTCGAGCGCAGAGCCCTTCTGTGACCTCTCACGGTCACCGGCATGAAATCCATAGCCCAGAATGTAGCAAGCTCCCAGACTGGGCTGTTCCTCATAGCTCCAGCCCTGCCCACTGCAACACCCACCCTCTGGACATTCTAGATGACTCGTCCCCCCAGGAGCCCCTATTCTTTCTTTCCCTGTGCTTTTATATGCAGGCTGTTGTTACTATCCAAATTTTTTGATGTTATTAAATAACAAAACCAAAAACTTATAACACACATAAAATTAAGTCAAAATATCTACTGTAGTATTGTTTACAAGGACAAAGAACTGCAAACAATCTAAAGTCTATCAGTAGGAGACTGGTGAGATATCTTAAGGATTACTTGCACCAAAGAATGACGTTTGATGATTTTTCTTTGTTGGTTTTAAAAGAGGACATCTATATGTACTGAAATGGTCCAACATGTATGATACAACAAGTGAAAAGAGTTAAGTTACTAAAAAGATGATCTCAGGTCAAAAAAATTATGTACAAATATATGTGTGTCATACATGTTTATAAATATATAGAAAATATTTAGGGGCGCCTGAGTGGCTCAGTCGTTAACCGTCTGCCTTCTGCTCAGGTCGTGATCCCAGGGTCCTGGGATCGAGCCCCGCATCGCGCTCCCTTCTCTGCGGGAAGCCTGCTTCTCCCTCTCCCACTCGCCCTGCTTGTGTTCCCTCTCTCGCTGTCTCTCTCTCTCTGTCAAAATAAATAAATAAGATCTTTAAAAAAAAAAAAAAGAAAATATTTAGGACAATATATGCCAAACCATTAATAGCAATTGAGGGAGCATATGTTAGAAGTAAGACGGAAGACTGAATTTTTGTTTTATATACTTCAATACTGTTTGAATTTTTAAGCATGACCATATAATACCTTAAAAATAATAAATTATTTTTTAAATTAATATGCACATGGTATGAAATTCGAAAGGTACAGGGGCACCTGGGTGGCTCAGTTGGTTAAGCATCTGCCTTCGGTCCAGGTCTCAGGGTCCTGGGATCCAGCCTCACGTCGGGCTCCCTTCTTGGTGGGGAGCCTGCTTCTCCCTCTCCCTCTGTCTGACACTCCCCTTGCTCGTGCTCTCTCTCTCTTTCTCTCTCACAAATAAATAAATAAAATCTTAAAAAGAAACACAAAAAAAGCCAAAAAAAAAACCAAAAAAGCAAAAAAAACCCCCAAAACTTCATTCTTTTCATAGCTGCATAGTATTTCATTGAATGCCATCTACCTCCCTGTTTAGTCTAAGTACATCAGCTCCTATTCACACGTGTGTGCTGGTGACAGGTGTGGCATAATTGAGGAGGAGAAAAGTAGCCCCAGACATGCAGGACTTGCTTGGCTCTCATCAGTCGGATCAGCACAATATCAAGACCACTTTGTAATCATGCCTGAACACAGACAAAATGTGAACACTGTCCAGCCACAAAATACCAAAGATCTCTCCATCCTGGCAAATCTGAGTGACTACTGCTTTTTTACAAATTACAGCTTTAGCCTCGCTATACATAAGATTTGAGACATTCAATCACAGAATCATTCCTGCATTTTTTTCTTTTAAGTGGGTCCACACCCAGCATGGAGCCCAATATGGGGCCTGAACTCACAACCCAGAGATCAAGACCTAAGATAACAGTCAGACGCTTAACTAACTGAGCCACCCAGGCACCCCACACTCTTGCTTCCTCACAGCATCCAGTGCAAAGTCCTGCTTCCTTAAACCACCCTCAAAATCGCCTAACATGAACCCAAATCCTCCAAGTCTTTTCTAACATACTCTTTTTTTTTTTTTTAAAGATTTTATTTATTTATTTGACAGAGAAAGAGACAGCGAGAGAGGGAACACAAGCAGGGGGAGTGGAAGAGGGAGAAGCAGGCTTCCCGCCGAGCAGGGAGCCCGATGTGGGGCTCGATCCCAGGACCCTGGGATTATAACTTGAGCCGAAGGCAGACGCTTTAAAGACTGAGCCACCCAGGCGCCCCTTCTAACATACTCTTACTGAGACACTCAGGGTGTGTGTTCTCCTTGCTGAAATGAGTAATAAACCCAACATGTTTAATTACAGGTTGTTCCTGGGGGGTCTTTGGCTGGGAGGCACTGGTTTATGTAATGGCTATTTAGACTCCAATGACCCTTTGGGTTATCCATGACTCTGCTCCATACTATTAGTGGATATATTTGAAAAAATGACCATACCATAAAGTCCTAAAGTCCCTAACACACTATTATATGCCATTTAAGACATAGTTTTTCTTATCACAAGAAAAAAATGTGTAGCTATGTGAGATAATAGATGTTAGCTAGACTTCGTGTGGTAGTAATTTTGCTATTATATATATATGTGTGTATCACATCATTATGTTGTATACCTTAAACTAATCCAGTGTTGTCTGTCAATTACATCTCAATAAAACCAGGGATAAAAGACAAAATTTTATGTAAATGTTGGATACCCAATGGAATAATATATGTAATATAAAATCCTGAAGCTACAACAAAATCTAAGAGCATCTTACCGAGCTGGATACTGGCTGGCCGGTGGCTGAATTTCTACAAATTGTGAATCTGGCATTCAATTCTTCTGCAAGATGAGTCTGAACATCCAAGTTATTTGATGCTGGAGGTGATGGGAAGGCCTGATTGCTATACATGGTGGCTTCATCTTCTCTTATAATCTCCCAGTTCTAAAACAAACAGAATAATCTTAAGCCACACATACTTTAATCTTATTGCTGTAACATGTGTCTATGGACAAGAACAAGAAAATTCTTTCTACCTCGGAAGATTCTCGATTATCCACACTTTCTGTCTCCTCAGATATCTGCCGCCTGGTGGTAAATGCACGCTGTGCTTGCAGTTGCATGTTACCATTCTCAGCATCTGTTAGGTTGTCCCTGGATTAGAAATAGAAAAACCATCACTCATGTCTGAAGATAGTTAAAATGATAGTCAAAGATGCTATGATCATTTAAAAAAAATACCTTAGATTAGAATTCACTGGTTTGGGCCAAACCCTATTTCAACGCACACAGATGAAGTCATGGGCACATTGGTATCTTCAGAGTAACTTGTGCAATTAAGGTTTTGTGAAAATGTATAACACGTCTGACTTTGATATTTTAGTTCATCACCGTGCCTAGGGCAATGTTCGACATATAAGGGCACTCAAAAATATTTGTTGAATAAATGAATTTCTGGGAGTTTCGTAAATAATTTCATTATATTATTATTTTGCCATGTTATGATATGTGTAAAATCTAAAGTAGCTCTAGAGAAATTATAAAAAAGAAGCTTTAGGAGTTAGTTACATATACAGCTTCAAGAACCAGACAGTAATGTTTTCCAGAATTGATCTTAACCCAAGAGTAGAGTTCCCCATGCACGAATGCAGAGGGCAAAATGAAGTATCATGTAAGAAACACTGTAATTAAAAACTTAATAGATCCCAGATTAAATAGTATCTGTTTTTGATCATTAACAGAAATAGGCCTGGTCTGAAAAAAGATAATAGTAAAAAACATGTCTGAGTTTAGGAACATTATAGTAAATCAGACTGAACACCATTACCCTATTTATTCCATTATTCTAGCTATTTGCATTTAGTATAATAAATCAGACCTTCAGATCAAGAATTTTACACAAATATTTAATAACAAAATTATTGTTATTTTATTTAATGCCATATAAGCCCAGGGTAGTCGGAAGATCAATTCTTACTGTACTATTGCTGAAGAAAACATAATTTTGACAGATGGTTCTAAGAGAATGCTTCAGATTATTTTCTCCTAAATACCTGATTTAGGCTAGCTGAAAGTGACGTCAACCGTAGTGAAAGAAATGTGATTCTGTTCAAGTCAGGCTTGCTATAATACTGAGGACTGCAGTAGGACAATTTTGTAGAATTTCATAGTGTCTTCAGTTTTACGATTTGTACAGGTCCCTAAGAGATTGATGCTTTTGTGCCACGAAGAACCAGGATCACTGATTTGCTTTGGAAGGATTTAAGAACAGAAAATATCTATGAAAGTGCTTGGACTGTATCAGACACAAAATACCAAAGCCAAAAATTAGAAATTAATGGAAAATACAAAAAATTTTAAGTCTCTGTCAAAAAGCAGAAGACTAAAGAAAGCCTTCATAAGGCCATAGGGAGGAGAAATGGAAGGGCATTTGATAATAAATGTGAGTAATGGGACATTTGTAAATGTATATTTAGAAATACAGTCTGATGATAATCAAAGAAAAATGTCACTGAGAAGACATAAATTAGAATACCTTAAAGGTCATTCTTTCTATCCTTGATCTGTGTGCATTGAAAATTGTGTATGCATTGACAAGATTGGCAAATGAGTGTTTAACAAAAGACCCTTGTTATTCAGTCCTTTATGTTTTATAAGTAATTTATATTTAAAAATAGTGTACTGTAGATATTAACATTTTATTATATTTTAGTAACAAACTACAAAAAATTTCCAAGATTTTCTAAACCAGTCTAAAGAGAAAAACCCATCCTTTGTGGCTACAAAATAATTTAAAATAAAGAAGCAATTAGAAGGGTGGTATTTGTGACTCTAATAATTTTGAATATTATCAAATCATTTAAAAAAAGAAACAGTTAAGATGGCATTTTTAAAGCCCTGGATCATAAAAATCCTCCTCACATTTTTCAGCTTATGGATCCCTATACTACTATGAACCCATTTGAGACACAACTTCAAAATGAAAATTAGTGGTCAAAATGTATTCATATCACAAATGTAAAAGCCACCAGCACATACTGAGGGGTTGGTCTTTTCCACTGTGTTCTTCTAGATTCGTGGTTTACATAGTAGGTCCTTCCAAGAATATCCTGCCTCTCTTCCCATCCTGGAGGTAGAGGAGAAGGTTCTTGTTGCTGCTGCAAATGGCAAGCAGCATCTGGTTGGTCCAAAATAACCCAGCCAGGCTGAAAAACAGAGTGGTAACAATTAAGTTTATGCTTAATTTTTTTAACCTTATAAATTATGCTGAAGGAACTTTAAAAAGAGATTAGCATATCCAGTTCCAGAAATTATGCAAGGAAAAATTTGCAGTGTCAACTTTTAAGACCATAATATGAACATTTTATGGTAATGAAGACTTTTTTTCTGCAAAATGATAACATGTAAATTTTGCTTGAAACTTTTAACATTTTTCAAAAAAGTTTTAAAACACACCTAATAGGAAAAAAGGACAGAAAAAATTTTAATTTTTTTAAAGATTTTATTCTTTAGTAGTCTCTATACCCAATGTGGGGCTTGAACTTACAACCCCAAGATCAAGAGTTGCATGCTCCATCTACTGAGCCAGCCACGTGCCCCAGGACAGAAAAAATTTTAAATAAACAAACAATGATGGGCAGCACTGAGAAACACAGTTTAAACTCCTATAACCTTAGTCTATTCTCTAAATTACAAGCAAATGAATGGACAAGAATATTGTCTTATTGGGCATTGTCTTTCCCATAGAGAAAGGAGCTTGTTATGGTAGAAATCAGTAACTAAGTGAGACCTGAAAAAAAATCACTGCCCAAATATGTGTAGGCTTGACAGGGAAAGGCAAAGAATTTAGAAATAATTGCTACAATGAACACTCTAGCAAGTGAAAAGCCATTATGATTCTCACATCTGACTTTTCTCTTTCTGGATTATGGAAAGGCATTTTGGTCAGGTCATAAAGTAGCCGAAGAAATAAAATTTCATTTGTTTTGTTTGTTTGTTTTATTTAAGTGCCAGGAAAGCACTGGAAATTTCCTCTGGTACTAGTGAGGGGCATATGTACCTGAAGCCTAAACTAGGGTAGTTAGGTTAAGGAATTACTTGGAAGGGTAGCAAGAGTTAATGGCATGTTTTTACATAAGAAACTTCCTAACAGAAAAGGCCTACTAAATACCAATACTAAATACCAATAAATAAATAAAAGGTCCTACTAAATACCAATATGGCTAGTGAAGCAGAAATAAATAAGTGAAGAAAATTTAAAAATTCTCCTAAAGAGACATAAAAAGAGACCTGAATGAATGAAAAGATATAATATGATCTTGGTTAGGAAGACTCAGTCTCACAAAGGTGTCAATATTCCCCAAGTTAATATATAAAGTGTCCAAGATTCTGATAAAACTACATTACAGATTTTTTTCTTTTTTTTAAGTAGGCTCCACACTGGGCATGGAGCCCAACATGGGGCTTGAACTCACAACCTTGAGATCAAGATCTGGGCTGAGATCAAGAGTCAGGACACTTAACCTACTGAGCCACCCTGGCACCCCTACTTTACAGATTTTTATAAATAATGGGACAAGGCAATTCTCAAGTTCAAACAGACACACAAACAAGCAAGAATAACCAGCACAGTTCTAAAAACAGAAGAATGAGTGATTAACCCTACTGAATAAAATATATTATACACTACAACGATTAAAGCTGTGGAGCATAGAGGTACACACAGACAGCTCAACAGAATGAATCAGAAAGCCCAGAAGGACTCAAATTTATAGGACTTTAGGATATGATAAAGACAGTTCAAATTTGTGGGAAAATAGAAAAAAAAATATGTGGGCTGCTACCTCATACCTTCTACCAGGATGTTACAGATTGAACAATGTTTAAATGTTACAAAGTAAAACCAACATGTATTACAACAAAACTTGAAATTTAAAGAACATGTTCCAAGACTGGGGAAGCCTTTAAGTATGGAAGAGAAGATTCACAAATTTGATTACAAAACCCCCAAATTTGTACATGGCAAAAACTACCAAATCAAAGTGGAAAAAAAATGACAAACTGGGAAACGTATTTGGTACCATAATAACAGGCAAAAAAATAATGTCCTTAATATATACAGTCTTTCTTTTGAGGCACTGGGTGGGGATCTAGCGCTGAAGGACGGTTGTGTGCCAGCCAGCTGATGGCTTAGAAGGTGGAAGGGAATTCTTTTATGTTGGAAGGCTGACTCTGAAAAGAAAGGTCAGGGAGGAGAGCTGAGAAGGAAAGGAATGTTTTCTGGCAGCCTGGAGAAAAGGAAAGGGGTTTCTGCAGCAAGGGTGAGCTCTCTGGCTGGTCTGGTGGGAGGGTTATCGGTTATAGACTGAGGCAGGACAGAAGGTGAGGGGGGCAGAGGGGGCAGCGAGAGAGGAAGACAGAAAGAATTCTGGAAAAAGGGATCTGGATGGGAAGTAAATTCACTCCCTTTTTTTTTTTTTTAAAGATTTTATTTATTTATTTGAGACAGAATGAGAGAGAGAGAGAGAGAGAGAGAGAGAGAGCACATGAGAGGGGGGAGGGTCAGAGGGAGAAGCAGACTCCCCGCCGAGCAGGGAACCCGATGCGGGACTCAATCCCGGGACTCCAGGATCATGACCTGAGCCGAAGGCAGTTGCTTAACCAACTGAGCCACCCAGGTGCCCAAATTCACTCCCTTTCTTTCTTACTCTTATTTTTTTTCCTTTTTACCTCTTCTATGGAACCGACATCTCTTTAATTTTGCTTTCTTTTATTGCTCTATTTCTCTCCTTTTCCTTTATCCTCTAACTTTCTCTCTCCAACTATATTTACCTTCCTTCTCTTTCTCCTTTCCATTCCTTTAAATGATCATAATGTAGGATCTACAGACTTAAAAATTAGTCTTGTATATATTATATCAAATTTTATTTCTCTGGTCTCCATTTTAAAAGTAGGTGAATTGAATTTTTGTATTTCACTCTCTTGAAAAACGGTTAAGTTTTTAAAAATATGGTCATTGATTATTTTTCTGCAGATTAATAAAATTTATTAATAAGAGGGTCCTCACTACTGCTGTAAAGAATTGTAAAAATGGTTAGAGCTAGGAAAATGGTACCACAAGATTATTTCTTTAAAATCTTAAAGATTTCTCTCTTAAAGGTCTCCTTAGTGAATTTATGTTATCTAAGTAAACTTGAGAAGGTAAAGGCCTAATTTTTAAAAACCTGGTTCAAGTTCTAGGAAGTACAGTTGTACATTTGAATATTGTTTAGAAAAACTGAGTTTTCAATTTTTTTTGTATAGAATGCCTCCCTATGAAACATATATCAGCTAATATTCTTCACAAAATAATTTTCTAAGTATCAATGAATGTTATTTAATTACTAACTTGAAAGCTAGTATGCAATTGCCAACAATTTAATGGAGTCAAAGAGGATCAGAAAGAAAGCATTCAGAGCTACAACACACATTAATGTTAGTCTTGCAAAATATATACAACTAAATCTAAAGTTGCAAAGGGTACAAAAATCAAATGTTAAATATTAATCTGTTATAGCCAGACTTTGATATACCAAGGAATACAGGTTGCCTAAGTGTGAGCCTCTTTTGAAAATGAGAACTGTTTTCTTTAAATAGAATTTTATATATTCAGTTACAAATTAGATGTCAAAGACAAGATTTCTCTGGTCATTAGCTACACAGAAGATAAATAAGCATAGATTCATGTGTTTAAATTCCTAGGGCCTTTCATAAATAAACTCCTACATGCTTACATCTACTGAAATTATAAGGTGCATTCTGAGGGAATTCAAACATTGAGACCTGAGACCACAAAATGAAGCAAAGCAACTCTACCCACAGGAACTGAACTGTGAATAAGGTACCGATGATATGTGTGTGTGGGCAAAACTTGGAGCAGGTTCCTAAATAATGAAATGCTGTTAAATTTTTTTTTAGTTACTAAATAAAGAATTTTCTTTATGGCAGGCATCCTTCATCTCAAACAGAATTCCATTATGCAAGATACCCTGTGCACCAAAATGCCAGGCAGAGAGACTTTGACCCAACAAATACCTAAAATTAAAAAAAAAGTGATTATTATATGATAAATCAGAGAAAAACTAAAAAAGAAAAGGTAATCAAATAAGCAAATATACACTTAAGAGAGGATACCATGTTTTTTGATTGCCAAACTAAGGGCTAACTATATTCTGTGATTTAAAGAAAAAAGTTCTTTCCTTCTATTATTACAGATTTCCCCATAAAGTAAACTCTTCTTAGTGCATATAAGAAATTCCCAGAGGGGCACCTGGGTGGCTCATTCAGTTAAATGTCTGACTCCTGATCTCAGCTCAGGTCTTGATCTCAGGTTTGAGTTCAAGCTCTGTGTTGGAGCCTACTCAAAAAATTCCCAGAAAGCTCTGTTGCAAAAGCATGCCTTGTTCTCGAGCTTTCTTTCTCAAGGTATGTGGGTATGCGAGGTACTGTCCAGTGCTGGGGGAGGTCCCTCACCTTTACAGTTCTTCTGGAGGCTTAACCAGACGCTCAGCCAAAGAGGCATGACTGTTGAGGAAGGCACACACAAGAAAACTCTTCAAAGCAAATTGGTACCAATACACTGTGTGCTTTCAGTAATGTTGCTTCAGTGGGAATGTCAAGAGGCAGGTGTTTTAGGGTCCCCTTTTCAAATCACAAATTTTTCTGCTGGAAGAAACCCTAGAGGTCATCTGGTACAATACTGTCATTCTACAAATGAAGAGCCTGAGGTTCAGAGACCTTCAACAATTCACACAGTCTCTTGGCTCACTCGTAGCAGAGCTTGGGACAAGAATTCCAGCCTCCAAATCACCATCCAATTCTATTCCAAATACATGCTCTCTGCCTCTTCTTCACTTACCCTCGATGTACGTAGCTCTGCCCAAATACTTGACTTGGGCTTCTTCTTATCCTGTCATCCATGAAAATTGTTAAATTCTATTTGCCCCAGATAATTATGGCCTCTTACTAGATCACTTGAATTCTTTCTCTTTCTCATTCCCTCCTTTCCTCTGAGCCCTCCCATCCTCACCCCAACCATGAGAGGAAAAGTAACAAGAATTACATTTCATAAAAGAGTTCCTAATTAGTAGAGTCTTCTCGAAATTTCCATATATTTAACTTACAAATAGTAAATTGTATTCTTTAATGGAGGGGAGTAGGACATGGT